TGGGATGGTATGTATCCCCCGGATGCAACGGAACTAATGTTGATGCCCTTTTTCGAGCTCCTCTTCCTTTTTCGTTGTCTTCTCATATTTATGACGAACTTGTTATTCTAGCATTTGTGGATTTTCTAGACAAGGATTCTGTGCCAATGGTGGTTATTGTACTTAATATTCAGTGTCCATAAGGTGCAGAGCAAAACCTACCTTCTCTTTATAACGTTCATGAAGGCTCAAAAAATTGAGCCGTGGATTTGAAAGCTTCAAGAAGTGTTTGAGAATCTTGCATCACTTACTGATGATTTTCCATTCTAGAATTTATATTCTCAATATCACCTTGAAGACAGCCTTCTTTATTTTGTGGAATGGATCTTGATGATCATTTACAGCTGGTGGTGCCTTTTGTCTTTATTCCACGGTTTCTCCATATTTGCCATGATTCTTCAATTCTAGGTGGGCATATGGGACATTGTCGTGTGACTGAGAAGCTGCATAAGTCTTTTTATTAGATGAAGATGCGACGTGATATTATCCGGTATATGCATAGCTGCATTTGGTGCCAAGTTCGTAATACTCCCCCTCGTGCCATGGAAGGACGGTTGGAGTCAATTGCAATTTCCTGTCCGTTTGAGTTGATGGCATTTAATCTTATAGGACCTTTTCCACGGTCAACTGTTGGCAATGAATATGTTGTTATTACTTCTGATTATTTACCTCATTGGGTGGAAGTTGGTGCTCTTATTAGTGCCTCTGCAATTGCTGTTGGATACTTCCTCCTCAATTAAGTAGTGTTACAGTATTCTTGTCTAGAGTAAATTCTTTCGGATAATGGTCCTGCATTTATGGCTAAGGCATTTCATGTTTTGACATCTCAGTTAGGGATACACCACACTTTCACGAGTGTTTATCATTCATAGTCTGATGATTTGGTGGAACGGTTTGTTCGGACATTCAAAGGGATGATCATGAAGTACATAAACTTTCAACATTCGGATTGAGATAGTTATTTGTTGTCTCTTTAGTATGTATATGTCACAAAGGTGCAGAGTTCTATTGGTGCTTCACTATATAAACTCCTATATAATCATGATTCAATATTATCAACGGAGCTGGGTTTACCTTTGCAATTGCCACGAGCTGTCGATACTATGTCGTGGGATCAGTATTTGATGAGCATTCTTCCACTTGTCTGAGTAGAGTCTACCGAACACCTAGGCCATATACAAGTGGGACAACAACGGTGCTACAATTCCCATCATCGTCTACCTACAGAGTACAAAGTGGATGACTTGGTGTTAGTCTGTTTTCCCTATCTTATAGTATATGGTTTATCTAAGGGGCTCCTTGCTCAGTAATAAAGACTGTATCAAGTGTTGTGGCAAGTTAGATCACAAATTTATGAGGTTTGGCATGACATCCAGCAAGCCAATCCTCCAGAAATTGTGCATGTGTAGTAGTTGAAATGCTTTATACAAACAGATCAGAAACAACTGATACTACCTACAGATCCATCGATGACTCCTCTTGATGTTCCACCAAATCTCAAAGCATCTACAAGAGAATCTTGATGGTCTTCCATTATTTTAAGAGGAGGGGATGATGTGAGGTTCAACTGTACAGTTACAATATCATATACTAATATTAGTGTAATGGGATTTTAGTAGCCATCAGATTAATTTCAATCCGGACCACTTGCTCTTGTATATAAGTTAGGGTTTTTGAGTTAATTGATATGCATATTTTCTGTGTTCCCTTTCCTGATTAAACACCAAGAATAAATAAGTTGATTAAATACCAAAAATTAAACATGTAAATTATTAGATGAAATAAAATTTCAAATTTACCTGAACAACTTGATAAAAGTAGCATTAGAAAAATTAAAGAAAAACTTACCACTGGAAAAGGTCAAAGTAAAATCTAAAAATAGCAGGCACATGTTCATCTTTTATCAGCTAGTTATTGAAGAGTTGTTTCCTGGTTTTGGCTATAAGATATGATGTTTCTTGAGGTACCTTAGCCCCATGGAGCAAGTCACAATCGATGGTAGCATCATCTGGCCACTGAACATGATCTTGTCTAATTCTTCCAAGTCCACTCTCACAATTTCCATATACTCCTCACTATCTCGTGGTCTCGGGTTTGGATCGATCTGCAAATCTGCCGTCCATGAGCAAAGAATTGCTTGAAATGAAATTACAGTACCAGAGGATCCAGGATCAGATATGGAGTGAATCTATTCCTGCACCATTTTACCTGTATTGAGAAGAACAAGAACAAATATAACAGTGAACTTGACAAACTCTGTGATTATCACAGGTTTACCTCGAGCAAACCAGGATGGTCGTCGCCAATCAGCTTTACAAGCTTGCCATCGTGCAAGTGAGCCTTCCAAATGTTTTGAAGAAGGAAATAAGAAACAACAAACAGAGAAATCAATCCATTACCTCCTCGGACAGCTCCTTCATTGCACAATCTTCCAGAGAAGTATGGCTTTTCGAGAGGCCACCGCAAGGCAAACTAAACATCATTCCATTCGATCCCTGTGTTTTCGAACTCCAGAAGTGAAAGTAGGAACCAAAAGAAAAGAAAGGTTGATACCTGCGCGTACTCCTTGATCAAAGTCACAAGCTTGCTTTTCGAGTCGAAAGGCATGACGGCACAGAAATGGAACGACACTGTCCTGGAGCCTACAATGTCGTATTCTACGACCTTGCGGGCATCCTGTGCATCGGGGGGATACTATAGATCCATCCAGCCACAAAACGAAAGAGTTAAAGTCAGCGAGATCTCATCTATGGAGCAGCGGAGCACAGGGATTTTACCTCAAGAACTAACCTCCACAATGCGATTGTAGACGTTGAGGTAGCGCGAATAGCGCAGCTCCTCCTGGAAATCACGAAGAATTCCTCCAAATCAATCCTCGAGACACACTACCTTGAGAATCTGGAAATCGCCGCTCCCGATCGCTAGATCTGCCCAGGAACAAGCTTTAAGCTCAAGAAAAGGCATGCATTGGGCGGAAGAAACACGCACCCTTGGCGCCTCCCTCACATTCCGCGCTCCTCGCCATTGAAGAACCCTAAAATATTTCTCTAGAGCTCTAGATTTATTTCCAATGGCGGCCGAGCGAAGGACGCCCAAGCCCGCGGAGGTAATCGCCTACTACAAATCCAAGGGCTTGAATCAGGAGCAGGCCTGCGAGAAGGCAGTGGAATCGCTCCAGAAGGCGCTGGCTCTCTCGCTCCGGCGGCAGCAAATCCAGCCCGAGCGCATCGCATTGCTCGAGTCCCAGGTCGTGAATGTCGGGCAGGCGGTGAGGGATCTGGACAAGAAGCTCTCGCGGCTGGAGATGGCGCTGGATTCGAAGCCCGGCATCGCGCAAATCTTCGCTGCCGGGGTCGCGTCGGGCAGCGCAATCCGGGGCCTCTTCGATGGAGCTCCCCATCTCTTCCGCGCAATCGCCCAGGTTTCTGGAAATATCTCCAGCTCGATGCGTCACAAATCTTCCAGGGTTTAGAGCCAGGTAGAGTCGCAAGATTGGATTGAGCGATGAATGGATTCAAAGATTTCCAAGCTAGCAAGTGTTCTTCCTAGATTGATCAATGGATGGAATGGATCCAAGCTCGAAATTTCTGTAAGTTAGAAAGAATTACAAGTGTGTGTATGGTACATTGCACTGTGAGAAAGAAATCTAGGAGATCTTGCGATCGCCGCGCCGTCTAGTCCGAATCGGTGGCCTTGCTGCCGCCTGAGGTGGCCGATTTCTTGGGGAGAAGCACCGAATGGATGTTGGGAAGAACACCGCCGCTCGCGATCGTGACATGCCCGAGAAGCTTGCTCAGCTCCTCATCGTTCCTCACCGCGAGCTGGATGTGCCTGGGGACGATCCTGTTCTTCTTGTTGTCGCGCGCGGCGTTTCCTGCCAGCTCCAACACCTCCGCCGCCAGGTACTCCATCACCGCGGCCATGTAGACGGGCGCTCCAGCGCCGACGCGCTCGGCGTATTTCCCATGCTTCAAGAACCTGGCGATCCTCCCCACCGGGAATTGGAGCCCCGCCTTGGCGCTCCTCGACACGGCCTTCTTGCCCGCGGATTTCCCACGGCCTCCACCAGCCATCGCGAAATCTCAACGCTACGCGGAAGAAATCTCCCAAGAATTGAGGAGCGAGGGAAGAAATCCAGGCGAGCGTGGAAGAAGAGGAGCAACGATTCAACAGCACGGGCAGTGTCTCAAGAGCCCTATATATACATACACAGGCCAATCTCCATCGAGGACTGGGATCGCCACTTGCAGCCGTCCTATCGAGGCCACATCCAACGGCCCAAGTTTAAACTCTTCTCCCTCGCGCGCTCAATTGATATGAAATCTGTTCCTTCTTGCCGCGTTCGTCTTGGCCCCGGACAAAGGCTCGAGCCTCTCCAGTTTTCTTCGCTTGCTGCTGCTCGCGGTTTGGAAAATCCTCGGTGCCAGTTCGATCAGCCAGCTCGATTCGATCGATGTCACTCCTTGCATAAACTCCTTGCTCGTCATGAGCAGCTCCTGGTAAACCACCCATTTTGGCGAGCCTCGATGAGCTAGCGAGCTCCCCGGATGGATGAACACTCGCTGGTTTCCAACTAAAGTCCGGTAGCCTCCCTCGGGATCTCTCCGCGCGGCGTGGTAGAAAAGCCCCGCGCAAATCCCCTTCCTGATCTTGGAGTTGTCGCTTCCAGCGCTCACCACTGCCAGTCCCTTGTCTTCCATGGTGCTCAGCAGCTCTTTCCTCACGTCGTGAGCTCGTTGGAGAGCTTCCACGCGAACAAAGTTGCTGTGGCACCATCCGGCCGCGAAGCCACTCGCCTTCCAGCTCTCGTAGACGGCTAGAAGCGTGAGGCAGTCTCCACCACTCTGGAAAAACCGGGCTTTTTTCCTGTCCGCCTCCGACTGCTTGTCCAAAGGCCGGTAGAAAACGCTCTGAGCTTGCAACATGGAGATGATGGTGATGATCTCGTCGCTACAGCCGAGCTCCACACTGGCCAGAAGCATCCTCGACAGCAAAGGCTCCATCGGAAACTCCACCATCTTCAAGCCCAGTTTGGTGATATGACCGCCATCGTCGAGAGCACCCAAGCTATAGAGCTGCTCCATCGCCGAACTGAGAGCGTGATCAGCCGGTCGATCCAGAAAGTCGAAAGAAAAGATGTCGTCCTCGCGGAGAATTGCCTTGAGATTTAGCACCGTGCTTCCGAGATTGGTTCTCTGGATTTCAGGCACGGTTGACGGGAGCATCTCGCTTTGTAGCGTGTTCTCCGGATAGAGTCGATAGCATACTCCAGGACCTGTTCGACCGGCACGACCAGCACGCTGTTTTGCCGATGCCTGTGATATCGGACAAATAACCAGCGAGTCCAGCCCAAGCTTTGCGTTGTAGCGGTGTTCCTTGACATAACCCGAGTCCACCACGTAGTAAATCCCGTCGATCGTCAGGGAAGCCTCTGCGATGTTCGTTGCAACCACAACTTTTCTCCTGCCTGGAGGTGTTGGATCGAAAATCTTTGATAAACTCTCGGCCGGGAGTGCACTGTACGCCGGCAAGATGACCAAAGTTGGCAGGCCAGGACCCAGCGCTCGCATCTTTTCCTGTAGAGCCTGGCAGGTCGTCTCAATCTCTTCCTGGCCCGTGAGAAACAGTAAGATGTCGCCTTCGGGTTCCCTGACATGGATTCCCAGCACAGTAGACACCGACGCGGCCAAGTAGTCCGGCTCCGGCAGCTTCGAGTGGATCACTTCCACGGGGAAAGTTCTCCCGGGAATATGAAAGGTGACACACCCGAAAAAGTACTGCGAGAACTTGTCCGCGTCGAGCGTAGCCGAGGTGACAATCAGTCGAAACTCCGGACGGCGTCGGAGTAAATCCTTGAGCAATCCGAGAAGCACGTCAGTATCGACGGTTCTCTCGTGAACTTCGTCCAGCATCACCACCGAGTACGAGGAAAGGTTTCTGTCCATGAGAATCTCCCTGAGCAGCATTCCATCCGTCATATACTTGATGACAGTCTGAGAACTCGTGATGTCCTCGAAACGAATAGCGTAGCCGACCTCCTCGCCGAGACGACATCCAAACTCCTCGGCGACTCGTTTTGCCACGGACGTCGCAGCAATCCTTCGGGGCTGCGTGCAACCGATCATTCCATTCGAAGTGTAGCCTTCTTCCGCGAGGAACTGAGTTATCTGCGTTGATTTTCCCGATCCCGTCTCACCTATAACTAGAAGAACCTGGTTTTCTCGAACAGCCTCTAGCAGTTTCTCCCTCAAACCATATATTGGAAGTCCCTGTCGTTGCTTTAGAATCGCAGGATTTACTTCCCTGTCTCTCTTAAACTGGACTCTCGGCCTCTTGACTCGAGCGTTTGCAGCGATCTCGCGATGAGAAGGATGATTTTTTTGTGGCTTATCCGGTGGCTTCTTTGCGATCGAGCTGGAAGATGCTTGCTTCTCGACCTCCTTGGACGATCCTTTCCTGCCAAAAGCGTGGAGCTTGTCCGTGGAAGGCTTGATAAACTTTGGTTTCTCTTGATCAAACTCAACTGGTTCTTCGATAACCTCCACCAATGCGGTGTGCTGCTGGCGAAGGAACTCGGGCTTGGCCTCTTTAAGTTCCACCTCGACTTGCTCGACATGACAACCATCATCTTCTATTTCCTCCAGTATCCTTTTTCTCAAATTCCCATGCCTGGATCCCAGTCCGAGTCTAGAACTAGGCGGCCTAGAAGAAAAAACCTGTGACGATTCCACCGAAGCGAACACCCCACCGGTGTAAGCCACGACTTCCCTCCCTGTCCTCTGATCGACATCGCTCATGGATAGCACTACTCTCTGCCCATTCGCCGACACTACCTTGACCCAAACCTCTTGCCCTTGCATCACTAATCCCTGCGCCGCGTAGACGACGCCCTCGTTGATTCCCCATGGCCCCGCAAGCTCCACAAAGCATCCCGGCCCAGCGATCCGAGAGACCTTACCCGAGTAGACGCCGCGCGGCTGCGGTCCCTTGGCGCTCATCGCGAAATGCCCTAAAAATGCATTGTAAATTTTCACAATTTCAAAAGTAAGCACCGCTAACTGAGGTTAAATTTCTAATTAAAATTGATTAACAATTAGCCTAATTTAATCCTCATTACAGGATTATTAACAACTTTAACTTAAAGGATAACTTCGCCTTTACATTTTTAGGGCACAAGGAGAGGGAGCTCCACGGTGTGGTGCTCTTGGATCTTCTGCGGCGATGGCGAGAAGAGCTCCAGCGGCGGGAGCTGCGCCTCGCCCGACACGACGCGGACGACCTCCGCCATGGACGGCCGCGACGCCGGGAGCCGCTGGATGCACTGGAGCGCCACCATGATGCACAGCGCCGCCTGCTCGCGCGAGAACTCCCCTCGCAGCGATGGATCCACGAGCTCCAGCACGTCCCCGTTGTGAACCAGGTGCCTCGCCCACGACGTGAGATTGGCGCGCTCGAATTCCACGCTCGGTGACACCACCTGGAGCGGCCTCCGCCCCGCCACGATCACCAGCACCAGCACTCCAAAGCTGTAGACGTCGCTCTTCTCAGACAGGATCCCGGCGCCGCCATACTCGGGCGCCGCGTAGCACACCGTCCCTCGCATGCTCGTCGTGCTGCTCACTGCCCCGCGGCTCCCCAGCTCGCCGCTCCATCTCTCCCGGCTCAGAGTTCTCTCCCTGGAGCGGAGCTCGCGGCTGAAGCTGTTGAGCTCGCCGCTAAAGTCGATCGTCCCGGAGTCGCCCCGCCTGTGGATCCAGTGGAGTAAGTCGCCACTCCACCACTCTCGGCCTCCTCCTCCTCCACCCTGCGGCTGGTGCTGGTATTTGCTCGAGAGATCGCCGCTAAAGTCGAAGCTACACGAAGACAAGTCGCGGCTCCGGCTCTGCGAGGACATCTTCTTGCCGCCTTTGAGCTCCCTGCTCTTGTTGCACAGGTCCTCGAGGTATTCCTCTCTCCACCATTCCCTGCTCTTGGTAAGATTTCCACTCACGTCCCTGCTCCTGTGCTGCTTTTTCTTTCTCTTCCATCGCTGGCGGATCCCGTGCTTGAATGGAAAGCACTTACCGAAGATTGAGAGCTGGAACGTTCTCATGGCTTGGATCCGGCTCCTTGAGCATTCTCGAACGCTGTTCTTCCCCTGGAAGGAGTTTCCAACGCTCGCGTCGCCCCAGTCCCTGCTCCTGGATCGCCCACTCTTCACCTGGCACGAGAGCCAATCCACCGTGTAGTCCTTGACAATCGCGTTGGTCTCGTCCCGCTCGTCTTGCTGCTTCCACCACCACTCTGTGCTTTTCCTCCTCTCCCTCCTGTGACCAACATTAATGTTGTCACTCGCAGCTGCTGGACTAGAGACGACTTGGCTGGTCCCATCTTCATTTCTATCGGCCCCTAGAGATCGTCGGCTTTCCACTTTCCAGCAAGCGCCATCAACTCGAGGGCTTGATGGTGGTGGCGGTGTGTTGTCCGCTGCAGCTGCTGCTGCTGCGCTCTCATTATGGAAAGAAAATCCCACCTCCTCCTCCTCCACCCTCATTCCTCCAGCGCTCGTCTCCACGGTTTGGTCAACAACCATCGTTCCACAACTTAGGCTGCGCAGGGAGGAAGATGAGCCTTGAACCTTTCCTCGACTCCTTCGAATCCCCCTGACTGTTGCTGCTTGTCATCAATGCCGCTAGCCACTGGGTGTTGTGGAGCCCCTCTCACGCTACTCCCCGCCGACAAGCGCTTCTTCTTGCTGAGAGCATCCTTCCTCATCTTCTTCTTGTGATGCCACTTCTCGCTGTCCCTCACAAATCTTTCCACCTTCACCCTGTCGTGATCCTGCGCGGCCTCGCCATTAAGAAGAACGTCCTCGCTCCGGACGTCTGGGGCCGCCTCCGTCTTAACTCTGGCCAGCCCGAAGTCGGCAAGCCTGGCGCAAAGCTTGTCGTCCAGAAGAACGTTGCTGGGCTTGATGTCGCCGTGGATGATTGGCGGCTCGCACCGAAAGTGGAGGAAGGCGAGCGCTTGGGCGATGTCCAGGATCACCTTGTAGCGCATCTTCCAGTCCAGCTCCACTGGATAGCCGTCGTGGAAGAGGGCCTCCTGCAAGCTCCGGTTGGCCATGTACTCGTAGACCAGCAGCCTCTTCTTCCGCTCGGCGCAGTAGCCCATCAATCCGACAATGTGAGAACACCTGATACTGCCTATCACTGCCATCTCGTTCTGGAACTCTTTCTCCCCCTGGAGCGATGCCGAATCCAAGCTCTTGACTGCCACCACCTGGCCATTCCTTAGAACTCCCTTGTGCACCGGCCCAAACCCCCCTTGCCCGAGCTTGTTCTCGATGCTAAACGAGCCTGTGGCGGCCTTGAGCTCTCGGTAGGAGAACTTTTGGAGGCGAGGAACTGTTGCTGGATCGAAGGGGCTGGTCTTGCTCGACTTGAATCGGTAGTAGAGAAAGAGGACGCTGACGACGAACACCACCAGGAGAGTGACTCCGCCACCGATCGCAAATGCGAGTATGAGAGCCATCTCTGGCGAGTGTGACGGACTGGTTGCTGGATGAAAGCGCTGGCGTCCTCCATGATCTGGAGGCGACTCCAAGAGAGCCCGCATCTTCTTCGCGACGAGAGAAGAGGGATGGGATGGAGCTCCGCCTTAGCGATCGCCAAACTTTGGAGCCATTCATCCACTCCTGCCTGGAAGACACTGCGTGAGAATCCAATGTAGCAACTTGAAATGGAGAGAAAGTCCTTGACACCACATGAATGAAGACGGGGATTTTGGGAGACGACAGGCAGGAGTAAATCAAATGCTGTCACTCAGGGAAAAAAACTTCCATCATCCATTAACTACGATAATGGATGAGAGAAAAAAAATCAATGGGATCGTGCTGGAACTAGACAAAGAGCGCTCTCTCTCTCTCTCTCTCTCCCGTCATTATCAATCCAGGAGCTGTCTGGAGCGACACTAGAAATCTCTGGAAAGAACCCTACCAGAAAGAAATGTGATCACGCATTTCCAGGCAGGAGGATGCATGTGACGATGATCCGGAGGGAAACAAATGCATCGATCGCGCTTTTCTTGGGAAAGAAAGAAATCACTGACCTCGGTCGGCACGCGCATTCGGCGCTGGATCGATCGATCGCCTCCAAAATGCGCTTCGGTTTGTCGCAGCGCCGCGAGAGGAAAACCTAGAAATCTATGCGCAGCTCCATCTCATTGATATTCGCGCTTCTTTCTGGAATGGTAATAAATGTGAAAAAATAGAGTATCGCCATTGCCGGGGATCGAACCCGGGTCGTCCGCGTGACAGGCGGAAATACTCACCACTATACTACAACGACTTAGCGATAATGAAAGGGTGATTATACTAGTTTTAAATCTCCCTCGTTACTTTGCGGATATGGCTTCGTCGTGTTCTTGCGCTGTCGAAGCGCTCTGTGGAGCGATTCTTCACCAGCGATTCTTCCGTGCGCCGATCAATGCGTCTCCCTCCGGCGCCGATCACGGGCAGCGATTCAAGCTGGTAAATCTCAGGAATGCGGTGCTAGGGATGCGAGAATGCGAAATCCAGGCTGAGTGCCAGGGATTTCGAGCCGCTAGGGCGAGTGTGGCAGCTGTAGCCGCCATCGCTTTGCTCTTTCCTGTCGATCCAGCCCTCGCATTCAAGGTATGGTCAGAATTTCTGGAAATCTTTAAGGATTTTTGGTCGCATTCCTTGATCGTGGATCTCAGTGTGCTTGGGAAAACACAGGGCGGTGGTCCGTATGGTTCCGAGGTCACGAGAGGGCAGGATCTCTCTGGAAAGGATTTTAGTGGCCGGGATCTCACTAAACAAGACTTCAAAACGGTAACTCTTCTCCATTTGCTTCATTGGAGCTACCAAAACTGCATCGAGATAAACTTTGCAGTCGATTCTACGCCAGGCCAACTTCAAAGGAGCAAAACTATTCGGAGCTAGCTTCTTCGATGCAAATCTTACGGGTGAGCAAACTTGTATAAGATTTCGTCTCCTCACACTTTTTTCCTTTGCTCTCTTTTTCTAGGGGCCGATTTTTCTGACGCAGATCTTCGTGGAGCAGACTTGTCCTTGGCCGATGCGACGAAGGTAGAATTCTTTTCAATTCTGTTTTTTGCTTACAAACGAGTAAGTTCTATTCTAGGCCAATTTCACAAACGCCAACCTTGAAGGGGCTCTTGTCACAGGCAACACCTCTTTGAAGGGTGCAAACATAACTGGAGCGGGTACGTTACATTCTTACAGGCAGGGAGATTCTTACAGCCGTGATTTGCATTTAGATTTTACGGATGTCTTGTGGAGAGAAGACCAGCGGAGTTATCTGTGCAGAATAGCAGATGGGTTAAGTTCTTTATAATGTTTGTTTTGTAAACTAAAGTTGTGAGTACCAACAGGATCAACCCTGTCACAAGCAATTCCACAAGGGAGACGCTGCTCTGCGATTAAGTAAACTTTCTAGTAGAGTTTTGAGCTTTATACCAGCTAATAATGCTGGTGAGCATTCAATAAATGATTGAAACATTTTGAAAAGATATACTTAATAATCTAATAACTATCTTCTTTCATCAAGAAAATAAGAATGCTAAAAAATTAATAATCTAATAACTAGCTTCTTTTATCAAGAAAATAATCTTGTGGCTGAAACACTGCCGACTTAGGGTTTAATCTATCTTAAGGGTAGTGGTGGTAACTTTTGAAGTAGTTTATCAAGAGAAGGTGTAATGTTTAGTGCTTGTTTTTAAAATTTGTATAAAAAAAGTTGGTTGCAATGGCCAATTAGAATCCTAATGATGATGGTAGTGTTGATTAATAGAGATGCTAAGGTTTGGTATCCATGATGTTGTACATGAATTGCAAGCCCTTAACAAGAATTTACAAAAGATGTATGGCATGATTGCTCTGATGCATAAATGCACTCAAGGTTGGAGGGGTGATGCTCTATACAAGATTTCTCTAGTGTGATAGCAATAGACTAGTTATCTCCTAATTAGAGTTCCCGCATTTTTACAAAGTAGCCCACTCTTTTTCCATTTCCAATTGTATGTCTAGAGTTCTTCTTAGTGATGGTTTAATTGATGCTATTATTGATCTATATTCTTAAAAATCTTCAAATCTAGAGTTAGGGAACTTGTTATATTGTTATTCTTCAATTGCATTCCTGATTTTCATAGAGAGCTTAAAAGTAGAGTGGATGGATAAGAGCTATTAAAAGAGGCTTTTCATTAGAGGTCTTTCCAGCATAGGAAAAAACCTTGCAAAGTTTTGGTCTTCTAAGATTAGCTCTTTGATCAAAATTAAGAACGTTTTTAGATCACAAAAAAGCTTAAAGAGGTCATTTTTCTTTACTTTGCTTTACAGAGCTTACTTGAAGAGGAGCGTATCCAAGCATGAAATCGAAAAGCAACTTGCACAGCAGTTCATGCATTGGTCAGCAACATACTGCAACCTGCCAGCGTACTAAAGGGCTTCAGAATTCAAAGAGCATCTTAGAGAGCATTCACCACAGCCAGAAATATTGCCATACTGGATGGTCATTGTTGGAAGATATAAAAAGAATTCCCTGTAAAAAAAATAGTGTTACTTACAACTATACATGCAACTAGAAGAGTTGTCCAGAGCAACAGTACAAGTCACTAGACAGTTTGTCTCAGAGCCAGGATCCAGGAGGTACAATTGAGCATTCTATTATTTTCATTTGATCATGTAGAAAAAAACCTTACCACAAAGTACCAATGGTGCCAAGCAAGGAGTAAAGAGAAAGGCTCCCACTCAATGTACCTGTAATGCCAAGGTATTATCAAAATTACAATTAAAAGCAATTGAGCTTACACTTCTTTTTCTTATAGCATGTACACACTCTTAGCTGCAACGATCAAGATGTTCCCAACAATGAGGATCAATCTGAGCATGAAGAACTGGAGTAGCTTGAAATTGAGAGTAGACCAATAGTCCTGAAGCAAAAGAGAGTGAAGTCTAGAAAGGTGACAAATGTATGAACATGGACTAATGAACAGCTTTGTGAAGCCATGGAAGCTGTAAACAGTGGTCAGCTATCAGAGAGGAAGGCTGCTATAGACGTTGGGATACCTTGTTCTGGGGTGGCTGAGAAGAGGAAGGGTATGAGACCTGGTCCATCAACAATGCTCTCTACATCTGAAGAAGAGACACTCCTTGTTGTGTTGAAAGTTAGAGTAGAAGTTGGCTACCCTATGACACAAAGTGAGCTCAAAGATGCAGTAGTAAGCATTGTATCAACAAGAGATATCACCTAGAATTCTAGTCGTAAATGGTGTAGACTATTCATGAGGAAGCATCTGGACATAAAATTCAAGACTGCTCAAGCTTTGGAACTACAACAAGCTAAGAATCTGTATCAACCTATTGTTCAATGCTTATAAAATCAGAAGCTACATACCTTGTGAACAAGTACAAAGCTAGCAACATTTGGAATGCCAACAAGACTAGTGTTCATGCTAGTCAAAATGGACGTGCCAAAGTCTTGGCAACAAATGGAATGCAGCATTGTTCCAAGTAACACTGAACACATCACCATTCTAGCTATTGTGAGTGCAGAGAAAGTATCATTACCTAGTTTCTAAATCTTCCAAGGGGAGTGCCACATGCAAAATTGGATATCTAGTTGTGAACCTGGAGCGATGTTTGCAATTACTCTAAAGGCCTGGATGTTAAATGATTTGTGGTTTTAGTGGCTTCACCACTTTGTGAAACACATACTTGGTAGCTGCTCAAGTGAAAACAGGCATGCTCTCATCATTGACAGTCATGGTTTTCATTGCTCCTTGCATGCCCAAAGATTTTGGGATTGACATCATCCTCCTACCAGCACACTCATCACACAAGCTACAACTACTGGATGTGAGTTGTTTTGGCCCATTCAAGACTTACTTTCAACAAGCTATCATGAGTTCATATGTGGGACAGTGGGAGCACAAGCATCAAATAAGGATCTTGCAACATTATCTAGCAGGTAATGGCTTGAGCAATGGCTGAAAACATCAAGGCTGGGTTTAGAGCAACAAGGATATGACCACTAAATAAGGAGGCAATGAACTCTCACTTTGGTCTAAGTATTCTACACTGGATGACTTTGATGTTGTGAATGCAATTCTACAATTACAACACAATGTTAGCAAAAAGAAAAGACTAGAGAAATAGCAGTAGAGGAAGTTCCTACTATATAAGATCAAGAGTTTGCACAAGAAACACTAGGGTTCCAACTCAAATAGTGCTGGCATAATTAGCTCTAACAAATAATGATTAATTGGCAAATGTGTCATTTCTTGCAAATGGTGATGAACAAGCAAGAGTGTCATAGTTGCTTGCCAACCTTCTTATGCCACCATTCTAAGTTCCACTTCCTAAACCAAGTGCTGTGTGTACAAGCATCAATTGGATCAATTTTGACCAGCGAGACATACACTCAAATCCTAAGCACTCTTTAAGCTGCTAAAGAGTACAAAAAAACTGAGAAGATCAAAGAGAAAAAAGCCAAATAAAAGAAGAAGGAAGAGGTTATTAAGAGGAAACAAGAGGCAGCAGCAAAAAGAAGACTTGAATCAACAAGAAAAAAGATGGAGAAGCAAGTAGAAATAACAACATAATAGAGGGAACATGAAGAAAATTAAAAAGAGAAAGTAACTAAGGTTGCATGGCTAAAGTAATCTTATAAAGAAGCGAAAAGGAAAAAAAAAGGAAGAAAAATTTAAAAGAAAAAAAAACTGGACAGGTAATTAATGTCTATTTCTATAACTTGATACTTATTTGATTTGGCAGTCATTCCACTCGCTCCCACTTTAGCCCAGTAAAGTGGCTGGCTCTTATAACAAGGTATGGCCCGTTTTAGGACCATATGTGGCTAAACCCTAAATGAATCTTGAACATTATAAATGAATATAAATTATTTTTGACTTATTTTCTATAAAAAAATTTAGTTTTTCATATGTCTTGTATAATCACTACTTTACAAAAGATTAATGTATAATACTTTCACAAAAAATATATAAAACTCACTTACCTTAGTTTTTACAAAAAACATTATACACTTATATGTGTTTTTCAAGATTTGTTATGTGCACACAAGTGTGTGCTAAGTTTGTAGTATATGTGACTTTCACCCTTTATTCTATGGTGATTTATCATAGGATAATCATAAAGTGGAACCCAAACCCTCTATATGCCATATGTTATATGCCACATGTTTAAAGATAGTGGAGCTAAACCTGAGTTTTAGGGCTTTGAGCCATTGAATAAAGGTATAGAGCTAAACTCCCAAGCTTGCAACTAAGGAGTGAAGATATTAAAATATGAAGCAACTCCCAAGCATTCAGCTTAAGGAGTGAAGGGACAGGAGCATGGAGTAATATTGAAATAGTTCTAGAAATTCTAACATTCCAATGCTAAGACCAATATATAAAATAGAGCCAAACAAAGTTTAGTGCAATTTTAGCATACTGATAGCCTAACGTGAGGACATAGGTACTTCACCAACTAACATGATGTGGAATTTGGGCTTAGACCCAAGCCGGACATAGAACAAAGATAAACATGCAAGTGGGAGCTAAATTTATATTTCAGATTGGTCAGCCATGCCAAGTTTACCCACTATACCTACTATACATTTAGAACCCTTTATAGCCCCCCATGCACACTTTAGGCTTTCATCCTTAGCCACCCTTAGTACCAAAAGTTAGTCTTTAGGGCAAATTTGAAACTTACTAAATATTGAATGACACTATATTGCAAATTTGAACACGGGACCAACACTATTGTGTTCAGAAAAATCTCTATATTCTGTAGATATGCCAAATTAGTAAATCTAGACACTTTTTATAAATAGCTATTGGGACCAAATGAGACTAACACAAAAGGCATGATAGCAAAGATGTTTAGCACACACAGTAAGCTATTATTTAATGAATATTAAGGGACCAATCTTAATATTGCAGAGGTTCTTGTCAAGCTAGTGTAAAATAGAGCAAAAGAGAACTAACAAGCCAAGCCAAATATGTTTGAATAAATAGACATTTAGGAATTCCTTCCTTATGCTTATTTGGCCAAGTATAAAAGGGATTAAAAAAGGGTTTAGCAATATTGATCTCCTACTGTCATGGTAGTAAGAAAAGAATATTCAAAAAGACTAGCTGACAGATAACTTTCGATACTTGCAATCACATTTATAACACTCTCTTTAGGGAAGATTAACATCCTTATCAATACATACTCTAGTCTAGACTACTGCCAAGGAAACAACAGAAAAAGTTCACAGTGTTCATACTTTGTGAGAAATGCACCAACTTAAATGAATTAGGGTAACCTCTCTGTCTAATGCAAATGTGCTACAACTCAAACACCTTTTGGCTATTATTAACAAAGAAATGATTAACAGAGTTAGCCACCCTTGCTGTTTTGAGTGTCACCCAGTTTACAAAAGTGTGATATGCTCCTATTCATATGTGGTATAGAGAGAGAAGCTAGAGGCCCCAACCCTCCTAAGCAAATAAACTAAATCCATCG